AATTGTATTCAAGATAGGATGAAAGGAATATAAAAGGATATAAAATATTGAATACAGTGCAAAGCCATGCTCAAATGGTATGGATGAATGCTACACAGGGTGATGGAAAATATGGGGATGAAGCTGCTTGCATTGTAGTAGTGTCTGTAGAAACTTGTATTTTTGTCTACTGAAGCTTTACACAAAATATCATCTACATGTACTCCAAAATAAATCTAACAGTAGATGTCCAGTATGGAGTGTCCATGCTTATCTTTCTTCTTTACATTATTACATTTAGCAGATGTTTAGTGGCTGGAATGTCCATTCATCTTATGATCATATACTGATATAGCTGGTAGTTTTAAAACTTAAATGGCCAATATTGCATTGCATCTACAGAGCTAAATACATTTGGAAATGTTTTTTTTTAACATCGACATCATAATGTTGTCATAAATAACATAGTACGCCATTTTATGTGTACACATGAAAACTGAAAACTAAATTGCACGCTAACAAGTTTTTAGTACATTCAGGACTTTATGCTATATATTTGGGAAAAAGTGTATTCCTAACCCTCTTGTACTCCTTTAATAATACCTTGGCACTTGGTCGTTGCGTGGGGTTCTTGTTGTGACACTGTTGATGCACTTTGAACAAGTGTAATCTGACAACATCACTTCCGTCTACATTTCCCAGTAAGTAGTCAACAACAGCCGGAATTTTCCAAATGTCAGTTTTTTCATCATATGAAGGCATTCTCGAGTCCTCAAATGGCTCACTTTCGAAGGGCCAAAGCTGTTCAGGTGCAACAAAATCAGACACAATTTCTTGTCTTCCACACTTAACAAAAAGCTGTGCTTCTGGATTTACTTCTGGTAACGCGTCCAAATCATTCAAGACAAGTTTAAGATCCTCTGTGATAAGAAACTGGGACAGGGTCTTGAAGAGGTCGTTTGAGTCACACATGACCCTTGTGCCAATTGGACTATTGTGTAGGAAATGTATTGCTTCCAGGTAGCTCAGAGCCACGTTAAATCTTGTCCAGACATTGTTTAACTTGCTGAACTCCTCACTGTCTAAGACGGTCTCAATGTTTTCTGCAGATCCAAGCCTGTAATACTCTGTGAGGAGAGTTGTGTGGCATGATCCCACCAGTTGCACGACATGTGAAGTGTGTTGCATGTTCCTCAGCATCTCTACACCATGTAGGAAGTCCTGCTGGAAAGCCTTCTCAGTCAGGTTACTATACACCACGGTGTGGCCTCTCCAGGTAGCTTTGTAAACCTACAAGATGCAGATATGGGAAATATGTTGTAATGTGAGTACATGCAGAGATGTCAAAACCGGAAGTTCCACTTTGGTATAACAAGGCAGTCATCATGTTGAGATCTTATTTAGGTTAAGAGCTACACTTAATTAAGTTCTTATCACACAACACTTCTTGCAGACTTCTTGGAAGGGATTTCAGATCCGTACAGGCAAGAAGTGATTCTTCACGACTTTGCTCTTCACGCACTCTCCTGCACCAAAAGTAAGCTTATTATTCTCTATTTCTTAACTGTATTGTTTGAAACAAATAATGCCATAGAAAAAATGGTATCATACATGTAAACAAAGATACTGGTAACCAGATTTCCCCCGGGAAATCTTATGACCCCCATTATAGACAACACTACTTTCAGACCTAGCTTGTGTTACACAAGCTCTTTTGGAGGCAACCTTAATTAGGGGGGCAGGAGCGCTATTTAGTCAGGCTATTTCAGACCCAGACAGGAAAGAAGTGATTCTTCAGTGACTCACTCTTCACGCTTCTGTACCACAAGTAAGCTTATTGCTATTATTTCTTACCTGTATTATTTGAAACATTTAGACTAATGCCATCTAGTAAAAATGGTATCATACCTGAAAGAGGTTATAGGGAGATTACCTCCTTGTAACAGTAATGCATGTGTCTAACTTCTCTCTGGAAACCTGGGCATTGCTGTTCAACAAAAGTATTCAAGTGTTTTTAAGTTTTTGTGCTGTCTCTGCGTCGTTTGAAACTATTTGTTTATCTGCATGGGACTAGATAAAACTCCTAGTTTATTGCTTTATTTGATTGTGACCACAGATTGGGAAACAAAACAGGTGGTGGTACTGTGGCATTTATTTTTCTCTCAACTTTTCTGCTTCGATAATTCCATTGTCCAGATCCTCACTGCCCTGTAGGGAAATGTCACTCCTGGTTCCTGCCTGATCATGGATGTTCATGTGCCTGCTCATAGATGTACAAAAAAAATGCCACTGGGTCCACTAGGCCACTGCTAGCCTCTATCAGGCTTCAGAAGCAGCTGGAAAGAGTAAAAACTGGCCAAGTATATACCCCGGTATTGGTAATTGATAATTACCAGAAAATGGTAATTGTCTGGCAAACCCTTTCCATTTGCCACACTAAGACACAAATACAAAAAAGGGAGCCCATAAAAACGTCTATAAACATGCCACAATTAAGCCGAAGCCTAAAACTCTACTTGGAAATAGGGTACAATTTCTACTCTTTGCAGCTGCTTCAAAATCCTGGTGAAGGTTAGATTTCAACTACTTGTGGGATGGGTTTTGATGTGATGCCAATGTCCTGTTTTGCAGTTTACAGTTCCACATCATCATGGCTGCAGAAACCTTTGATCTTGACTATTTGGCTTGCCTGGAAGACTCGTCCAGAAAGCTGGAGTCCACCTCACAACAACGACTGGAGCTGATGCTGAAGGCCCAGAGGGAGGTGGACACCTACCTGGAACAGCTGAGTTTGGACCATCCCACAGGATGGGTGATACCACCTAAAGAAGTACAGGTAAGTCTGGTGGGTGAGGTAGGGGGCTTTATTACCTGCATGAAAAATGGAGGTATTGTTTTTGGTGTGTCTGTCTATGTATGTCTGTGTATGTGTCTGTCTGTGTGTGTTTCCGCAACTTTGTAGTCAGCATAACTTCAGAACGACTTTATGGATTGTGATGATATTTGGTATGATGGTAAGTCTTGGAAAGACAAAGGTCAAGGTCAAGTATGGGCCTCCTGGTGGATGACCTTGGTACTGCAGCAGAACTTCCGGTTTTTGTATCTTTTATCCTGAACAATCTATGGTCTTGATTTTTTAGTGACAGATAGCTTATCCTGTCAGGAATAAGTGGCGTAAGTGTGGTCCCCCTAGCAGCTTGTTCTGGAACTGCAGGTTAGTTTCTGGTAAAAACTTTCAAAGCCAATAAGTCCAGATTGGAACAACGTATTTTCATCATTTTTGGTGTGTAGGTACATGAGAGACAGTTGTACATGATTAAATGCAAATTATGCAAATGAGGACTTAATTTGCATAATTAATGAGGAAATTTTATAATTACAGTGTTTCATATAATGGTACCGCTATACATGTAATCTATTTAATCTGTGTCAGGCAGAACATCAACAGATATCAATTATGCAAATGATGACCTGATTTGCATAATTAATGTGAAAATTTTATACCTCATAACATGTGTAACTTACTTAAAGGTATGCATCGCTATGCATATATTATGTTAATGTAGAGGTATTTGCATAATTAATGAGGACAAACCAAGCCCATAACCAAGTCAACAGATAATATAATATTTACTGCTTTATAAGTATTTAGTCCTTCCTGAACATTGATCATCATTTATTTGTTTACAAGATATTTCTCTGAAATGCATTACAGTGCACATACATGACAATAATGTTTACTCACACCTTCTGGTGCTATAACTTAAAGTTGCCTCGTCTCTAGATCTTCATCTCTATTTTATCTATGTGTTCAGTACACTTCAATAATGAATGTAAAATTAACTATTGGTGCCTTCTCTTCCCTCCTAAATCTCCCACGGTCACATCAGGGCCAGGTACAGGGGCCTCCAATGGCAGAGCTGCTTCCCATACAGGAGAATGGTGTCAGTATAGGTAAGCTAGTCTCCAAAAGCTGAATACTGTTTAAACTCAGCCATAAAGGCTGTTGGCCTTCTTACGACTTTAGGCCCTCATTCCACTTAGATTTCAATGTCGTTTTGTTCGACTTTCTAGGACAGTGTTTGTGCTCTTTCCTCCGGCGTTAACTTGTTTGTGTGTTTGTGTGTGTTGGTTTGTTGGTTGGTTGTTAAGATGCACCTCGTCCACAGAGGTAGCACTGCAACACTTCAGCCGTATTGGTGAGGAGGCAGGACGAGAAGGTCACCCCGGGCACATGGCGGCGGTCCCCGGCAACTCCACCGCCCCGGGTGCCATCGGAGACTACTTAGCAGCCTCCTTTGATCCACGTAAGATTGCCACAAGATTCATGCATTACCTAGGTTTAATACTTATACATATAAGTTATAGGCTTTGGAAATGGTCAGATGTCACTGACTAAAGTAGTAGAGCCTATTACTAAACTAAAGCTTAGGGTATCCGTCAGACTTATGAGAGTTGCATACTGCCAACCCTCTGCAGACCACGTCACCTTCAGTCGAGGGGCTGTAAACATGCAGCAGCAGATTGTGCAGTGGGTGGGCCAGCTGTTCGGGTACCCGAGCACATGCGCTGGAAATCTCACGTCAGGCAGTACTGCGGCAATCATGGTTGCCATTGGAACAGCCAGAGACAAGAAGGTCCCAGAAAGTAAAGACTACAGCAGGTAACATGGCTGAAACCAGCTGAGGCCAAGGCCACAGATTGACCAAATATCTGTTTTTGTTGACTCAACAAAGATAATCCGTTTAAGCCTTCATCCACAGTTCTAACCCCTTTGTTTTTCTCCCTGTCTGTATCTCAACCTTTTGCTTTTGTCCTAATGAAAACAGGAGTGTGTTATACATCAGTGAGTTGACACACGACAGTGTGGAGAAATGCCTGAACACACTCGGGATGCGGGAGGCGGTGATCAGACATGTGCCTGTGGATGACCAGTATAGAATGGACGTAAACAAGCTGCGCAAATTCATTGAAGATGACTTGAAGGTTTGAACCTCGCGTGCCTAGGCCTGTTTGGTGACGGCTGAAAGGTTTAATTTCAAAGTCGTGTAAAAGGATGGGATGTACTGACTAAGCAATCTCCATACAAAATCTGCCTGGGGAATATTAGCAGAACTCTATTTTCTTGCCTCCCTAGCCTGCCTCCCACCTTTTCCTCAGTCTGAGGTCCTCATCAGTCTGATTGCCTGCTTTACTTTTTTCTTCTTCCCAGGATGACCTGCTCCCATTCCTTGTGGTGGCCACTACAGGGACTACAGACGTCGGCTCCGTGGATCCTGTCCCTGCCATTCGAGCCATCGCTACTCAGTACAACATGTGGCTGCATGTGGACGCCTGCTACGGAGGCTTCTTCGTGCTCTGTGACTCCACTAAACACCTCTTTGAAGGGGTGGAGACAGCGGACTCCATCTCTGTGGACCCTGACAAGGGTACTTCATTCATTTGTTTGTTTGTTCATTTGTTCCATCATTCAACCCTAAATTAAGGTTAGCGTAAGAATGTGTTTGAATAAGGAATAATTAGCTGCAATGGCCATTTGCCCTTGAGAAAGTTCGGAGGACTGACCAGTTGCCTGTTCGTAAATTTGTTAGGCTAGAATATGTGAAGAATATTATGCATTTTGTTTTGCAATTGTGTTGCCTTTCTAGTTTTACTTCTTCCTTTTACACAGCTTCAATTGTCTATGATAAAGATTGTATGATATCTTAACAGGGTTGTACGCTTCATTTGGGACTGGTCTCGTCCTCATGCGAAACGGCGCCTTGCTGCAGAACTCAGAGGACTTGACCTTTGAGCAGAGTGGCCACTTTAGGTAAAGCAGTGTTAAAAGCACCTCTGTTGGTTTATTGCCGAACTACAGAAATATAGGAATACTGTAAAGAGGAATTAAAATCGACACCTGGCTAATGTCCTGATCCTAGGCCATTTTTTATATTTTTTTTGGGGGGGGGGGCTCGGCATAGTGTTAATACTTAAAAAAATTAATTGTTAATTGTGTTGAGTATGGCGGTTTGTTCCACGCACAGAGCCCCGAGTATCTGGCTGCCTCTCAAGCTGTACGGAGTCTCAACTTTCCGTGATGCCCTCCAGGAGAAACTTGAACTGGCCAAGTACCTGTACCTCCGACTCAAAAGTAAGAATACCCTTTCCACTCATTCCGAAGGTAGCATTACCTGACCTATCAGGGCTGGAAGTAACACGCACCTGAATATCTGCAAATTAGTGCAGGTCAAATTGGAGCTGTGCAGGTATTTCAGTCTCAGTGGTAATGATGGTTGAGGGTGACGGAAGTAACCTACATCATAAAATCCTCTTTACAATTCCAATACATTTATGAATACTCTTTATATATATATGAACACATGACCTGGAAGTCTGAAATTTATCTGATTTCTTGATCTGACTTGACAGATCAGCCACATCTGCATGTGGTGAAACCGGTGCTGTCCGTTGTGTTGTTCCGTCTCACTGGTGCGAGCGACAATGCTAACAATCACAGTCTCCTGGAAAAGATCTTGGCCGATGGACGCTTCTTCATCACCATAACCACGGTGAAGGGCATCCAGTACCTGCGAGCCTGTATCTTCTGCTTTAGGACCCATCGTAAGGAGCTGGATGTCTTCATCAACAAAGTGTTGAGTGCTGTGGCTGAGATGGGGCTTCCTGAAGATGATTCCTCCCATAAAGGGTGAAGCATGGCACGGATTTATTAGGCCAATGAGGTTATACTTATAGTCTCTCCACTATAACCTCCTTGATTTACTGAGGCTTGGGAAAATATGATGTGTATCAGATTTCAGTTCTGAAAAGTAGGATTCTCTTTTTGGGGGAATTTCAGCTAAAAAATACAGTCCAACAAATACAGTCTGATGTAAAACTGAAATGTATCAAGAACAGGGCTGTCTGCGCATGCATTACCAATCTTTCCATTAGCTTGTGGGGAAGGGACACAACATCTTTTTCCTAGACCTTAGGCATGTCAGACAGTTAGGCAGTTCTCCAAGCAGATGTTTTGGTTGTGGGTTATTTTGTTGTTTTTTCAGCCTTTTTTCTTTTTTTCTTTGTCACCCTAGTGGAGGCTGCAATTTCTTGGAATGATAATCCATATGGTATTACCTGTGGTGGCATTATGCCTGTTACAGGTGCTTAATTATGTGGATGAAATGCTATCTTTAAATTGATTAGCAATGATCTTAATTAGAACAGCTATCTAATTCAATTGACATTTTTTCATTATGGTTACATACATCCACCACTCTATACTCTATAAAACAGTGCGCGAGATCTCTTAGTAGTCCAGCACCAGTACCAATCTGTGTTGCTCTTGCTATAAGCACCACCTACTGACTCCTCCGAGCATTGCTTTATTAAATGCACTCTCAGTTTCCAAGATTGGTGAAACACTGTGACATCTGTTTATAAAAGATATGGTTCAAGGGAATTGTGGTGCATTTGTTTGCAAGTCTCCTATCATATTTTACTGTGATGAAAAATCATTTTATTAACTATTTCTAGTCATTGCTGTTGGTTCATAAGGTGATGGGAATAGCGGAGAGGATACAAAGTAAAGACTTTGGAGCTAACATAGGTGTGATAACAGGGCTACATCTCATTATACATGTAGATAATGAAGTTTATACTAACGTTACATGTCTTTTTTTTTCAAAATGTGAAAATAAAATCAATTATCTTAAATGTATTCCAGATAATTCAGATTATATCATTCAGTGGTGAGACTGATAGTGGTAGGGATCACAATAATTTATTATACTAAGGGGTATCCTTTGCAAAGATGTTTTAATCATGTACAAAGCACACACACAAACTTATGTCAGTTTTTCCAGTACTACATACAAATTAAAGCTAATCTACTATGCAAGATTTGTGACCCTAGCATGTCCAGATCACGAGATATCAAACCGGAAGTTCTACTGCAGTACCATAACAAGCCACTAGGGAGCCCAAAACTAATCATTTTGAGGTCTCGTCTCATCAACACCTAACCACCTACCAAGTTAAGTTTCATGACTATCCATTCATAGCTTCTTGAATTATCGTGAAGAAAATGAAAAGTGAATACTAATATAGATTTTTCTACTATAAAGATGTTTGCAAGCTGGACACATACATCATAAATACTCCGCCCAGAGGCGTCGCCAAAAAGTAACGGTGCTGTTAAACGTTACCTGCTTCACAGCGCCCTGTCCGAGCATGTGCTGAACGGTCACCTCGTCAGCAATCTCTTTACAACCAAGCCATGACGTGCAGGTTTCCATCGTGGCAAGTTTAAAACTTTCCGGCGGGCACAGACCCCTGTCTCCGGGCAAGTCCATCCCCAACTCCACCTCGGCCTCCACAACATCCGGGTAGGGCTCTTTGGCATTTCTCTGGTTTTCCCGATCCAAAGCTTCATCGTCTTCGAAGTCGAAGAGCCCAGGCTGCAGGTCCGGGTCGGTGTCCAACCAGAACCAGAGAAATAAGTAGAAAAGTAGCGGAATCAGAAGGAGACTCGCCACATCCCGGACACTTAGAGGCGGCATCGATCCGATCCGACGTGTCTGCAAATACCGGTAACCTCTGACCTGAAAACAAGGTAGCAGTAAAAACAGCACTACATTTGTGTACATTTTTTTAAAAATAGCATCAAAATTTGTCCAAAGTTACAGCTTGGATTTTCAATTAAATATTACACCTGTTATTATAATTAACAGTTACCAGTGCAATGTTTTTAAAGTTTGTGGATAAAATTTCCTCGGTGTAAGACATATTAGGGTGAACGTTTTGAATTGCGTGCTACTTTTACTGTGCAGCCACCTTTGACCCCAAAATAAAGCTGAGGAAAGCTGCTTTGAACCAATTTTGCCCAGAAAACTCGGCATATCTTGCTAAATGCTCGCTGCCGCTCATCTCCTTCGGTTTGTAACGGCTCCACTTGCCCGCCACATCCACATGTCTCGCCCAGCGAGCGCCAAAGTTGCTGTGGTAAGTTGTCTTTTCTCTGAAAAATGCGTACGAAGTGAACCTGCCGTGCCTGGCCTTGTATGATAATTTGCCATGATTACGTGGCGTGCAGCATGGGTGGGCGGGGCCGCTGTGATTCAACTACATAGTGAAGTTTCTGCATAGTCAACGCTATTCGTGTAAAATAGCATGTAAGTATCATTTGTTCTGGGCGGATGATCTCTTTAATACTAGTTACTGATTCATGCGTCAAGTCACATGTTATCACAATGTATCATATGTTGATTTGTTGCGTTCACTTTCTTCAGGTCTTGTCAGGATGTGGGGTATACGATGGCAGTGAGATCCATGAGGCGTCAGCGTAAGTAATTCTCTTGATCCTGAAAATACACCTGACAGTGACACTGTTACTGGTATTTCACATTCTCTAAGCAATAGTATTTACATTAAAGGCAGTTTAAAGCAAAGTTCTTTTCTTTATTCCCCATCCTCCCAGAGTGATGGTGCACCTGAGTCGGGGCGGGGCTGATGTGGCCGTCTTCGCACCAGATGTGGACCAGATGCACGTCATCGACCACACCAAGGGGCAGCCAGCCGAGGAGAAGAGGTGAGGACACGAGCAGTGATATTGTATAACAATGCTCTTTATTCACAACAAATGTTTTTTTTTTTTACAAGCCAACTTTTCAGAGACCGTCTTTCCTCGGGGCAATACTGCTGGTCCTACCTCACACTGCAGCTAGATGTCGCTGGTACAGTGTTAAGAATGCAGTCCCAAACATAGAGTATTGTAACAGGTAGCAGTGAAATTGTCCATTGTAGTTCCAGGTTGTCCCCTCATTCATGATCATTACAGACAAGAAGCATTGCATTACTGTCATGAATGACTTGGAATATTGGATATATGTATAGGTCTAAGTGTAATGGTCTATTATTGTTATGTAACTTAAAGTTAAATCCATCTTAAAACCTGAACCTTTAGACCTTACACTGTGGTAAGATTATTCCACGTCTTTAATTTTTGTACTCCTTGTACAGGAATGTCTTGGTTGAGTCAGCCAGGATTGCCCGAGGGAAGATTGCAGCCCTGTCTACGTTAGATGTGGGCGGCCATGACGCTGTCATCCTCCCTGGAGGCTTTGGAGCTGCAAAGAACCTGTAAGTTTATGACAGCAAAAAAACTTACAATGTGCCTTCGGTCATCTTATGTAGTTTGAGAGGTGATAGCAACAAGGTACATGTATTAGAGATGTGTTGCTTCCTATCTTATTAGATCTGCTTTGAAATAGTCTTGCAGATATTTTTTATGATACATGTACTAAGGAATATTCTGATAAAGCAGTGTATCCTGTACATGTTCAGATGCACCTTTGCTGTTGATGGGCCTGACTGTAAAGTCAACCCTGAAGTGGAAAAAACTATCAAGTCTTTTCATGATGCCAAGAAACCTATTGGGTAAGTATTCGTGAATTCGAGTGTCTCTTACCACCTCATCCCTTGACCTCGTTGAGGGTCATTGGGGCACCATTACTTGGTCCACTATCTTCCTCCATTTAACTTACCATATATACATACATTTGTACATCTTACCAAATACATGTATTGGTAAACTAATAGGAAAAGCACATTTTAAATGTGCATACAAGACAATGGGGAAATTTTATATTTCACAATTTTTTGCTTTTTAATGTTGACCTAAATATGTACATGTATGGTAACAACTTAAGGAAATGTATACTATTAAAGTCTATTGTTGCTGTTCCAGACTCTGCTGTATTGCCCCAGTGTTGGCAGCAAAGCTGATCCCTGGCTGTTCTGTAACTGTGGGAAATGACCAGGAGGAAGGGGGGAGGTGGCCGTATGCTGGAACAGCTGGAGCTGTTGGAAAGATGGGAGCTACCCACATCAGGAGAGATGTCAATGTATCCTTCTCTGTCTGTTTTTGGCAGAGTGTGTTAGCAGGGTTGGCAATGAGTGAACTCTTTGAATAGATGACTTTTCATTGAAGGGTAGGTTAGTGAGTGAGTGAGTGAGTGAGTAGGTAGATTTGAATGCATTGCCTGGTTGGACCGGAAGGATATGTTTGAGTTCTAGATTTGGGTGGATGCATGGGTAAGTAGACTGTGATAGTTTAATAACTTTGTTTTGTTGCAAATTACCACACATTTGATATACCATGCTATTTACATTCTCTATGTCTAAGAAATACCCATTGATAAAGAAGATAATATATGTTTGAGCACTGAGATTGTACTGCATAATGATATAAATACATTTGTACATATATGTATGAAAAAAATATGCTCAGTTCTTCTTATTTGTAAAGAATTTATTACTAGTACATTGCAGAAAGATGATGTTGTGTTTTGATCCTTGACTTTGTCTCCAGGAGGTCCATGTGGACACAGAGAACAAGGTTGTCACGACGCCGGCCTTCATGTGCGAGACAAAAATGCACGAGATTTATGACGGGATAGGACATATGGTGAAGGAGGTGCTGGATTTGGTCTAAAACAGCAGCGAGAGCAGCTACAATGTAGAGCAGCTACAACATAGTACAGCTACAATGTAGTACAACTACAATGTGTAGTACAGCATGTAGGAAAGCTGTGCGTTTTATAGATGTACATTAGATGTACATGTACCTCTTTGTGTCTCATGCCAGTCATGGTGCATGCTCTTGGATAAAAGCCATAAGCAGCATGCAGACTCTACTACAAACCTAAATGACATCGTCTTATGATTAGGGGTCCATATGAAAGAAATAGGAAGTAAAAAAAATAGTCGCTGTCTAACAGTAGAATGTCAGATGTTTCTGTGAAATATGAGAATGACTTACTCCTTTTAAAAAGCAAGTATTTGAACTGAAGTGCCCCTATGATCTGCCTGAGGTCTGATGCATGCATGACCAGCTCCTGTGATGCATATTGGTAACTGTAGAGACTAATAATGTAGAGGAATGCACCATTTTAGTTATAAAGTATGTATTGAGCTAAATAATGTTTGCAGTCTTTTTCTGATCTCTGTGAGCCACCAGCACACATTATGATAAGTTGCCTTATGGTTCTCATGAGCATTCTAACATTGCTCATTGTACCCTGAAAGAGGACAAGAAATAAATGGCCTTAAGCATCTTTAGGCATTTATCTGTAGTAAATCCTTGAAGTACCTTCCAAGCATCTTTTCTTTCAAATTTATATTGTAGAGCAGGCAAACATCGGGGAAATAAAGTGCACCTATAGAGGAATGACAAGAATGCACAAACCTATTGATCTACATCGGTATACACACATTTTTTCAATAAACATTTGCCCCTACAGTACAATTGTTTAATTACAAAAGAGTTTACTCAAGAATCTTGAAGAACGTGAGACACAGAATGTCAGAAAAGAGTAGTGGTACCACATGCGAAACCCGCTGTGTCTAACACGGACGTAAGACGCGCGCTGTTCTGTTTTCAAGCTGAGAGAAAAAGTCGTCTGTTCAGCTTGTCTATCAACTTCGGCAACGACATACGATACCCCGCGCCATCTTTGATCCCTCACCAGGTGTGCAGCGTAAAACATGTCCCTAACACTTCTACTACAAACTTCCACGTAAGTGCGTGTTTTTAAGAGATATAAGCCCGAAAAACTTGGATATAACAGACAAACACCATCTTCGAATACAGACGATGTGTCCGGGATTAGCTTTCACTTGATGGGCATTGTTTGGGCGTTGTTGCCGGGGCAACAGGCATACTTGTTTTCCCCTTGTTGGCTCCACGGAGCAGGTGGGATCTGATACCGTTCCTAACGTGCCGTCCACTCCTGGTCGTTACTCGGCGTTTTGACTGGATTAATCTTATATGGGGTTTGGAAACTGTATTTGCAACAACAAAGGGAGACAACGGGATTAGTTTATGGTAAAATTGGCCCAATCAGTTACGGGAGTAAGGGAGGGGACGGACGCGGTCGTGATCAGGTGAATTTTGAACTCAGGTAAGTAAGTGTACAGACCACCTCCACCTTTCTAGTCAACAGTGAGATATTTTGAATGTTATGTTTAACAGATTTCCACTAAATGCTGTTCACAATGTTTCCATCATATGATTGTGTGTATTTTCGTGACTGAGGGGTAATAGCGGAAAACGTAATGTACATTTAGTGCTTCAGTGAACAAGCATGTCAAGTGCCTAACATCTGGCTGTTGTACTAGAACGGCTGCAGTATGTACCATATCAAAGTAGGGCGGTCGACAGTTAAATTGTAGATTGCAATTCAAACTGTACAAAACCTCTGAGTACCTTCGACACAGCTTCATAGCACTTTAGATCTGGTAATCATGAGTGTACCAACATAATAAAAGTCCGTATACGACAAGAACGACTTGGTGTAGCATAGCGACAACAACAATGATTTCTGACCATGTTCTGGTAAAATATCTTTATCGTTTTTATACAGCAGATGCTTACTTGATCGCTTGTTTGTATTCTTATTTAGTTATATCTTTTTCTGGTATGCAAAGTTTACACCTATAGAGTCTTGTGTAATCCAATGGAGTAGCTGAGCCAACAGACAAGTGTTTTAGGCTTGGCGGTAAACACTAACGTAAATGGACTGGATCAGCATATCAGAGTGTATTGTTCAGCCGTCTGCTTTGTGTGTACAGGTCGGATTGATGCCTGGCCACATTCACAGCGCGGAAACCAAGGCAAAGGAACATGTCACGTAAATCTAGGGTGAGTAATAAAGAACTCGTTTGTGTGTGTGCATGGCCGTGAACATTCCTAGTCTTAGACCTACAGTACCAACAGGTGCGCAGAGACGTACTTATGTTCAAGCAACATGGCTACGGGCTGTGGTTGTGGGCAGGTAAAGTATGTGGACCTTGTACCAAACTGTGCTTACTTGGTAATTGTCTAAATACATGCCTCCCCTCGGAAAGGGAGAAGCTTTACCCACAAGTCCCATAGTATCAGGGTACAAAAATGTTCAGTTGTCCCAACCAAATCGTTAACGTTAACGTTGCTAATAAAGTTTGACTATCGGCTGGGTTTGTCACCAAGTAAATAATAAGTTATGGTTCCACTCTCTTGTCTGATTTGCTATTGTTAATGTTCCCTCTATGATCACATATTCAGCTGGTGATCGTGCTGTAATATTGTCAGTCACTCAGAATTACCGAAATGTCACAGTCAAAAGATCGATGACACTTAATTGATATTCTGCTCCGGAGAGCATCCTTAGAGTAAACCATTGTAAAGGTCAGTAGAATATGAGTTGTCATGTGGACGAACGTCACAGTTATCATTTCACAACAGCTATTGTTGAGGGTGGGTGCGCGCTATAAGTTCTCAGTCAGTAACGTTATATTTATATTTGAGTAGTTATGTTTATGTACAGTAAATTACATTGAAGAATCAAACCTTTTTCTGCTGCATTTGACACGTCTATTCAGTCACGTCAGTCCCCGTCCGTCTTCATAACAACGTCAAGCTTGATGCCATTGTGTCAAACATAATGGCCTCAAATGTTGTTATGGGTTCAATTGATGACACTTCAGTCGAAATTCCACTGTTCCAGAATAACTTTATGGTGTACGTACGAACATAGCAACAACAGCAGTTCGAATAACTTCCCAGCTCGGATCCGGAGGTTCTCTTTGACTCAGCGTTGCCACCCGTGTCTTTGTATAATAATACGTTGTGTAAATCTAAACAGAGACCAACGTTAGGGATGACTACTAAAGGTCAAAGGAAACTTTAAACTTCTTGGTGGATTGAAGGTAAAGATCAGCTACTGACAGTAACACAAATGTGATTGTTCTTCAAAAGACCGGCAAATACAAGTTTGTGTATGAATACACTTATGTTTATCTGTTGTTGTTTTTTTTTCTTTTACAGGCAAGCAAAGACTCCAGAAAGAGTCACTCCAGTCTAAATGAGGTAATTTTTAATCTGCTCGGAGGTTGTATTTGAGTCACTTTTATCAATAGCAGGTTAACTTCACTGAAAAGAAAGCTTACATGCTCCTTTCACAGCTTTTAATAGATGTTGCCGTCACAATTCTACTAACTTTTTAACATAGCTATAAGGCGCTCTGACTGTATTTAAATAATCCATAACAGTTAGACGTGAAACATTTCGTCTTTCTGAAACTCACGACTTTACTCTGCTGACATGCAGACATAAATCGCTGCGAGGCGCTGCTATTCGGTAAACAGTTGGTCAGTGATAGAGCGCCTGTAAACACTAAGGAACAAACGTGAAATCTACCATATATTTCAGTGCAGATGCAGTCATCACCAGTTTTTTCCTTGTCACCATCAAAACAAATTTCACTAGTGAATAAAAGTCGACTTTGATACATAAAAACAGGGCGTGAAGGGATAGCAAGTTACTTCATTACGTCTTGATGCAGTGCAGTCTTAGAAACCAAAATGGCGACGAAAACATCGGGGCACCACGGTGGGAAAAAGACTAAAACGAACATTGCCGCAGCATTTCTTTCCCGCTCCAAGACAGGAATAACTTACAACGATGTAGTCGACAAACTCTTAACCGTAAATAGTGTATTCTTTCTTTGCGTTCTACGGTACAGGCAATATCACCAAATTATGTTAGAACCGACCTCTCTCTAACGTTTCATTTTGACACCTGTTGGATTTTTGTTTTGTTTACTTCACGATTTTCCTTCTAGTTAGTCTATTACGTGACAAATCAGCAGCATAAGATATCAATATTTACACTTAATCTTAATCAGAATCGCAGCATCAGAATCAACAGAATCAATCCTGTGTATTTCACAGAATTTTGACATAGCATAGGAAACGTTAAAGCATTTAAAGCTAGTTTAATACCAACCAACTGGCTGAGATTGCAAACAGATCGTAGCCTAAGCCTTATACCCGATGTGTTGTGAATCTGCCCTGTAGGATGAAGAGGCGATAGCTAACGAGAAGGAAGGATCCCTGGCATGGAAAGTTCTGCACATCTCTCAAGTCAGGACCCTGCTGGAACTGAACGTAGACCAGGTGCATTTGTAAGTATCAAATTTTTATATCAGGTATTGCTTGTTAGTTACTTCTTTTTAGATGCACAACAGGAGTTCTCTATTGTCATAAATTCTACTTGGGAGGGCAAAGTCTCTGAAACCGTACTACCATGAACAATTTGATGATTTTTTTACATATTTGACATATTCATAGATTGTCAAACAGCTTTCCTGAATATTATAACTTTATACTGACATTCTACTTTCCTGCTGATTTTTCCTGACAGGAAAATGGCAGACCTGTTGAACCTGAAGGACCATGCAGTCAACCTCCAGGAGGCAGCTGTGCTGGATTACTACGTCGCTGGTTTCTGGTGGGCCAAGGAGCAGAGCTTCACACTCCAACAGATCTCAGGTTTCATCACAGCCCTCAGCATCTTACTGGAGAACATCAGAGGTATGTCACAGTGTCACATGGGATGTGGGAGTAACACTTTAACAAGTATGCACTACAGGTAGTGGTGCACAGTTCTGTTTTTTAAGCTGTCTTTTTCCTTCCTTTTGCACTCCTTGTCTCCCTTTTCCTTCGAATCCAAGTTATTTTCCTTTTCTTTTCCTAGAGTTCTAGATTTCCTTTTCTTTTCCTAGATTCTGATTACTCCGTCTAACTTTAGCTCCTAAGCACACTACTTTATGTGTAACCCAACTGCTGCCACTTTTCTTTCGTCATCACAATCTTCTCACCTTAAGAAATACCATCTACTTGCAGAAAAGCAGATGTCCCTTGTGGACAACCTTAAGGAGCTTAAGAAGATGTTGGTTGGGATTGGACAGGAGAACCCAGAGGTGACTGGAGGTCTGGATTTCTTCAACACAGACCAGGCCAAACTACTGACTAACTACATCACAGAGAGGTAAGGCAAGAAATGCCTACTGACCTGTAAGAGTGTTCTTTGATCCTCTTACTTGTTCGTCAGCTCTCTGGGCATCTGGGCTGTGTGTCCAAGACCAAACCAAATATACTTTGAAGTATAGTTTGATCCTGTTGTTCATGTGTAGTACCATATTTCTTAATGTTTCTGGTAGGTTCCTTTAAATAAAATTTTGGGCCTCTGGATGGAAAATCTAATAGTATGTAAATTTATAGAAAATTTTTAGAGAAAATTAAGTTAAGAGCAAATTAAGCTGCACAAAATGCAAAATGATGAAGTTATTGTAGGAATCCTTCAAAATTGTTTCACTTCTGTTTACAGCAAACTTAACATGGCATTTTGCTCTTACCTGTGAATACTAAGGCCATACTCCTGTTCGTATTGACTAATGGTGTTTTATTCCCACCCAGCCTGTTCCACCACTACAAGTTGTACCAGTACATGTTCTCTCTGGAGCAGGATGAGATGGTGATCGGTACTGAGGTCAGTTACATCCTCCTTCCAATATACCAAGTTACCATGGAGTCTGTAAAAAAACTAAATCTAGAGCATAAGCAAAAAAAAAGGGAATTTAACTATCATCCCGTGTGTCTCATAACAAAAAAAAAAAGATTTTAGACGAGCAATGTCTATCTCTCTTAGGTCGTAGGATATTTTGTTTTTGGGTGTTTTTAATGAATATTTCACATATTTCTGTATACAGATATGGGCCACGAGCCAGAGGCAAATGCATTAACAATAAAAACACTCTCTGTATTGCAGCTGTCCGTCGAGGTGGCCCCCCCTGCAGACATCCCGTTCCCACCCCCCCTGGATGAGGGGATGCGAGAGGCCGTGTACCTGGAACATGTCGCACCCCCTCCACCTCCACCGGAGAAGGAGGTTTGGAACTGCGTTTTTTCTGTTTTGAAGATTCAATATGCAATGATAACACTGTAAATTAGAAGAAGTCACATGTTTTTGCGAAGGTTGAACAGAAGATACATTATGTAATTGCATTAATGTGAATCTCAGATGGAATGCAGTAACTATTATAAAACCAACTGTTCTTCTGAGCATCTATGAAAGTGAAAAGTGTGTTGCCAAGTTAATTTCAACAGCAAATCTACCAAAAATCCAACCCTGTCAAACGGTTTGGATCTTTGGTAAGTACCATAGACATAACAGAGAGTAAGCAAAGTCAATAGAAAGTAACCTAAAGCAAAATCAGCAACAGAAAATCATGATAGGAATGGAAAAGTCTGTCCTAACTCAGATCTGTTCTGTCCAGGAGGAGAAGGAGGCTCCCTCAGGTGAGGAAGAAAAGGTGTTTACTGAGGAGGAGGTGGAAGACATCTTGGAAGGAGTCACTACAGATGAACTCAAGGAGGTCATCAGTTCTGTCGTGAACGAGATGCTAGGTTCACTGTCAGCAGATGTAGGAGCAAAATTAAAGGAGAGGGAAGCGCAGTACTTAGCAAAAATAAGCAAGATGCAAAAAATCGCTGAGTAACTTGTAAATAGATTTGCAACATATGTACATACTTTTTAAGATGTTTATATACTGTCTCAGTACATGGTCATATATTGTTTATGGCAGTTTATATTATGTGTATGTGATGACTTAATAACATGACCAGTGTATATCTTGCAATATGTGATTCAACAGATTTGGTGAATATTTTTGTATTTTAAACAATTATGTTTTGTGATTTTGAATTCTTTGAAAAGTTATTGTTTTAGATATTGCTCTCAAGTCTTATGATTATACTTTACACATTTCTGATTACATGTTTAATTGACTCTTTCAAAATTGAAACCAAGCAGTTAATTTAATTTGTCTCTCACCCACAATATGTGTTGTGAATGTGCTCTTTATATTCAATCCATTCTGAAACATTTTGTATTCATTCGTTTTATGAGGTAATTACATTTAGATGTTTTCTTCTGCTGTATTTCTTCATTTAAAATTGTACTTAGTAGTTTGTGCACAGTATAGGGTCAATATTACCTAAAGTGCTTTGACGTTTGAAGACTTGTATAACATGACTGTACAACTGTTTACAATTTTCTGTAAATACCACTGACTTATTTGCAAGCCAAAAGGTCATTAAGTCAAATATAGACCCCAAAACCTAATAACAGAACACAAAAATACCCACATGTCCTACATTCTGTGTTGCCGTGTCTATTTTTGGATACTGTTCTCCGAGTTGTTCACATGTTTTAAATGTGTTACATAATGCTATGTGTGGACAGCTGTCCTGGTTAATCTAAAGATCCTGCCACTTGTAGATTCTGGCATTTAGAATTGACACACCCTCCATCAACCACCTTTTATGTTTGAAATTCCACAAGTGATCGAGGATTAATGAGAACTGCATCATCCGATGATGACTCTGCCCAGTATTGCACACATTTACACGGGAATAGGTGGCTCTTCTTTTCCCATGAATTCCTGGACAGCGCCCCTTTAGATTCATGTCATAGCTGGCATATACTTTACCTGTCTTTTAATAGCACTTTTAGCCAATCAATTAATGTGGTTGCTTGTACACTTACAGCTACTATTTCAGGCACCGATTTCTGACATTATTACCAACTTTTCCGGTGCCTTGACGTCATCTCGCTTTCAAGATTTCCCTCCATTCTCTTTGTGTACCAACACAAAATCAATACCAAAAGGTAGATGACAGTTATGAGTATTGTTACGAATATCACTCTTGATCGTCCTGTTTACGCAACATGTCTTTAACAGGTGGAACATGACATAACCCGACGGGAGTGTCAGATTTGACTTGGACGTGTCAGCCGTCCATTCACGTGTACAACGGTAATGGTGTTGGCCCTTGTCCCGTTTGCCGGGCTAACTACTAGGATAGAGGGCACTGTCCTCCTAAATCATAACTCGGCCATGGAAGATGACAGGGACATACAAAAATTGCCTGTACTGTCCTTCACATCCGATTTGGATTACAATCAATCGCCCGTTCACATTATTACAGGTGACCAAAGACACGTTTAACTGAAAGCAATGCGTCGGTCAACTTGACAGCGGAGTGAAATTAGAGGATGAGTGAAGGGCTTTACTCTTGATAAGTTTAACCTACGGCTCGTTTAGAATTTGCTCATTAAAGTTTTGTTGTTGCTGGTGTGGCTTTCGCCATGCCCTTGTCCTGTTTGTCAGACTGACAACTGGGAGAGGGTAATGTTCCCATAAATCAGAACCCGGTCATGAAGATCCCGAGGACAGACGTGATGTAGAGGGACACGAACCTGCCTGCCCTGACCTTCACTGCTGGCTTTCTCAACAGAAATGTTTTGATTTACCATAATTACATTTCATTGCGATGGTCATAAGTTACGTTGACTCGAGTTCTTTTGGTATCCTTTATATATAGCCTGTATCAATATCTACGCTCCAATATAGATATCGGCCTTTTGATACGCGATAGTAAAAGTTCCATAACATGCTCACTGTAAATATTCTATCCACATAAAGCTCACCAGAGGTGATAAAAGATCATATTTCATGACAATGGAAGCTAAAGAGTTTCCTACTGATTAAAGTAGGTATGCCCCTGCCAGAAGTTGCGGAAGTAAGAAAACTGTGATGATTGTGTTTGTGTAACGATTCCTGCACGTAATATCAATTTCATGAACATTTGGCTTTATTTTCTAATCTTTAATGACATGATGAAGTTTTGCTCCCTTTCCGTGGAAAGCTCAAGAAAATAACTTGATCTGTAATTAAGAAAACAGTTTTCATGGATATCTATCCCATGTCAAACTCTGGGCAACTGTGCCAGAAATCACTGACTCAGTCGTCACTCATTTCAGTCAATGCCTGTTGTAAGTTGTTGAGTACTGCGATCATCGCTGACATTGGTACCGGATCTGTATTATATATCTGAAAGCAGGATTGACGTAACGTCGCTGGGGAGTACACTCGACAAGAAAGGGTTATGTTTCCACGGATCCGGTCTTCCATCATCTTCAGTTTCTATTAACTATTCAACGACACTTGGAGATGTTCCAAGATCAACCATTCTTGGTCTCGCTCGTCTGTGTTTCATGATCGTTGATGATGATCTTCTACCTCATCCCATCACCCAGATCCTCCTCCCAAACCCGTAACGTTATATGACAATGTCTATCATCGAATGGGTGGAGGATGTCATCGAAGGCAAACATCGCGTTTTTGCTGTCCAGAATTTTAGCTGGCTGCTACCCAGTGCCCCAGTCATCTAGCGCTGGGTTTTGACAACGAGACAGCTACAAATATGAGATGACTACACATAAATGATGTAAGACCTTGTCCCACGCGTATACTGTATAGCGCGCTGACGCAGGACTGAGTCATGAGAAACCGCCTCTCACGCAACAGCACGTCAGCAGATGTCAATGCCGAGCGCCATAAAAGCGAAACCCCGAAAAGGCCAGTGTTGAAGACTACATTTAAGCTCAGAGGTTTATTTCCGAGACGTATCCTTCTGTGATGAATTACTTTTATGACGTCTCCTTCAGGATTTATATGCATGTAGTACTGGAACGAATATGGTCACGTGATAAGACTATCTGAACGTGTCTCTGAAATTCCAGGAATAACGTTACAGTATTATCATTCCACGGGCGATAGGCCATTACAGGGGACGTCACACCCTCAGATCATGCCGGCCCGAACCTCTGTCATCATCCGGGGCGTTGCACCACTGATCATTTGTTTCATTTCTTACTTTTGAGATCAATGGGGGAATACAAAATAACAAAAAAAAAGGTTTAATTGTTGTACATGTTTTGATTTTGTATCTTGATAATGTACACAGTTGAGGTACATATAGAATCTATACGATAGCGATTATATAGTAGGCTCACAAAAAACATTCTTATGAATTTAACATATGGAATGTTAGAATGAATTCAACCATCTATACATTAAAAGTATGTTCAAGAGCTCTACGCCTTCAGAGAGGTGTTTTGATTAATTGATTTTACGTTGGCTTTGAGATTTTTTCAACTAAAATTCGACATTCGATTCTTGCAACTGATATCTTTTCGTGCGGCTTTGTTGAAAGGTTTGACTTTCATATCGCAGTAACGGCACGTCCATCCTATTCATGTGGAGAAATTAATGGTCCCGCCCATTTAAAAGCTAGAGTCAGTGTCCTGTGACTCATGTGCGCAATGCCAGCCGATAGATAGTTCTGGTCGGATCCAGTTTCCTCCGTATAAAAGCGGTCCCGTGTCATCCTGACGCACTCGGTATTTGTTGTGGACGGATTAACACTCCATCTAGGGTGAACACTGCGGGCAGCACCCCAGAACATACTAGAAACGGACCTGACATTCTGAGTCTTCGGGGCAGTCTACGGAGCTGTTGACGACCGAAACCATCGCGTGTTGTCCTGATTCACGGTCAGACTAGTATAATTTTTACCTTCCTTCCGGTACGAACTGGTCGGGGAGTATTTTTGACCCACGCTAAGAGGTTTGAACCGCCCGCTGCACCTGTTCAGTCGCACTCGGATCACGGGTGATAACCGCAGCCGTCCTCACTCATTGAGCACTGCAGTACCGAGGCACTACCGTACAACAGGCACTGGACTCACGGCCAGCTCAGGGGATTGTGAAAGGTGCTAAATCAGGAAAAATCGGATTTTGACTGTCTCTAAAAGATTTATTTCGAAAAAACTTTTGCCGTCGCTTCCGCTAAGAAGATGGAGAAAACCATCCCGATCAGCCCGAGCCCGGACGTTCTATCTCCGAGGGCCTTCTTCGAGCAGCACTTCGGACAGGGAGCGTGGGAGAAGCAGTTCCTCGGTGCCAACGATGACAAGGCCTGGGACTCCCTGTCCAAGAGTCCTCGGAGCCTGTTCCAGTTCCCTCCGCCTGCCACAGCGCCGAGCATCGGACAAGACAAGTAAGCTGCTGCATCTTTCCTATCGTTGTAATAACGGCGATTCCATGTGTGTATATGGTTAGAAGTTCGTCCCTTTGTCGTGAAGCTACCGACTACGGTAGTTACAAGAGGTTCAAGAACCGCATCACTCCAAACGTGTAGTCAACTGATATTGAACTTGATGACTTGTTCAGTTGTCGTGCACGGGTGTGAAGGTGTTGGTGTACAGTTGTCATCGATGTAGGCGTCGATATAAATACACTCAGCACTGATGGACGTTGGAATCCACACGTAACGTGTTGTTATTATTGCCTCTCAACTCGTAAAGTTTGGCTTGCGACTGATCTGCATGTTAACGTGTTAGCGGGTAGTTACATTTGCTATCTCGAGGCCAACAACCATCGACGCCTGACACAGATGTCAAATTGTGGGCGTAGTTTCACCCAGTTGTTCGTCCGCCAAGATGTGCCAAATGTAATTTAGTGGTATCTAAAATGTTCTTTACCCGCACGTGTTGCTGATGTTCATGAGCGGGCTGACTCCGGAGCAGCTTTAAAGCAGGAAATCCCATCATATCTAATGGCTCTTATAATTATCTCAAGTCTTTTTTCTGGAGTTTTCGACGTGCCAGAGTGATGTTAATATAAAGTGACATGTGGCCTTCCCTCATGTTGGCATGTCAGACCTCTCTGACCCATGACATACCGTGGCCAGCGATAACAGTATAGAGCAGGCTTCCAACCATCTAAAAGGTTCCGTCGCGTGTATTTGATGCACCAACTTGCGCGAGTAGGCCCGCCCGTCGCTTCAAAAGGTACGAAGACAGAGCACAACGACTAATTGCTCTTGTAGATATTCTAAAAATACGAAAAACGTTTACTTCAATTGATTTCAGTTTTAGTGTCCACAAAGTGAAAATTAGGTACAGAGAAAACATTTTGTACTTTAAGACTCTCAAAATTCAGCATAACATGCCGATGCCACATATTTCTCTGTAATGTCAACTGAGAGTCCGCTTGCCCCAGTCCGGACCCGAGGTAGAATAGCTATATTGTAACCCGAAGAATATTGAAGGCGCGAGCGGGTGGTCTACTCCGCTGACCTGGTTCACCTTGGGGCCGCCCCGGCACGCATCCCTCACGAGCCATTGCCCATAAATAGTGAATCTGCCACATGTCAGGGGAGAGGAAAACAACCGTCGGGGCTTCTATGGGAGACATCGGCAATGGCAGGCATGGAGGGATGAAATATTGGGGCTCAAGTCTGCACCGCGCGTCAATAGAATGGTTGAGTTATCCCGGAATGCCCGACTTGCGAAATACACAAGACCTTAGGGTATAATACTTTGGCAGTAACCTCTACATGGTCAACGACCGCTAAAACCGCATTCTCTTTAATTCTTACCACGAATTCGACATTAAGCCACCACGAAAGTAATTGAAATTACAATTTAATGACATTGAAAAGGAAAGGACACGTGGAATCAAAATTAAGATTATTCGCCTGGGTTCAATGCCGTTCTAGCTGTAGTACCTCTTTGATTCCTTGTATTATGTGTTGGCGATTTTACATTGTCCGATCGAACTTGGACTTCAAAAGGCACTAAAATACTGGGATATCATTGGTCTGTACGTGTCCAGAATCACTATAAGTATGACAACGTTGAAAAGTGTTTTACAAATCGGTATAAAAATCGGAATTTGCTCAAATCTATCGCAAACAGGTGTAAAGATAAGATCAAGAATTCAAAACTACCACAAAAACGAGCATCAATCTTAATGACTTAAGTACATTGTCATCTGGAAATGATGATAGAGTCACAGAGGCAGTATATAGGTCACACAAATATGGAACCGTTAGCAAGCGAAGTACGATAATAGCCTGATCAATGGCTTTGATGGTTATTTTCATCGTAGATCCCACATATCATTGCTAGATAAAGTTGCCGAAAATAGGCTAGTCCAAAGCGACTATGATAAGAATCTGTAGACTAGGGAGATATAGAATTATACATTGACGCATTCAACCCCTCTTTGCTGCATATATGGAGACACAACTGTACAGACCCCCCTGTGAGGTACAGAAGGAACAGCCGTAAGACTATTATGTATCAGGAACTTTGATGACATCTGAATCACAGTGAATAATTCATATCCAAAAAGGAAAGTCGCATGGGAAAGGAAGCGCTTTAAGTCATCAAATGAATTATTCAAAAGATCAACAGTAACTCATGCAACTAAATGCCATGCACCTATCTTGATGGCATCTTGTCAGCGTAACGTATGTGATCACTTATGGTGTACAAAAAAGGAGTTACTAATAGTAAAAGAAAAGTATAAAATATTACTCCAAACCATTAACGTTATTATGTTTACTTTCCCCCAGGTTTTACGTGGAGTTGGACATGAAGGATTACACACCTGAACAGATCACGGTGAAGACCATTGATGGGAAGAAGCTCGTCATTCATGCTAAGAAAGTTGAGACATTGGAGGTCAGCGGCCGTAAGGTCACCAAGGAATTCTCGCGGTAAGGCTATATGTGAAATATGCGGCGATTAAAGAAATCTTTATTTTATTCGTACTCCTCCTCTTCTTCCTAATCATCGACACCATCAATGCATATCATGAGAAGTGCTGGTATTGCTTTGGGTGTCTGAGTTTATGGGTTTGTCTGTCTGTCCTAATTGCTTTCGGTTTCATGGTGGGTGGGAGGTGATTTTGACAGTTGATTGATAGGGTTATAGTGTATATACCTGATAGTGATGTAATGTATATACCCGATAAAATTACATCATGCAATCCAACAAAACACTTTCCCGGAGGTCTGTGAACTTGAACGTCACGAATCCACCCACCCTCCCTGACAACTGAATACTTCCAGAATGTCTGATCTCCAGATTTCTTGTGTTACGATGTGACTTTTTTTTTCTTCTACAGAGAGTACGTCATCCCCCCGCTCGTGGACTACGAGACCATCTCGTCCTACATCACAGCGGAGGGCGTTCTGACGGTTCAGTCTGCTGACCAGCCGCCCGTACAGGCCGCGCCTCCGCCTGCCCTGGTCAAACCGAGCGGCAGAACCGGCGCTACAGGGTTCAAAACAAAAACCACCATTGGATTTAACACGTGAACGGCCGTTACCTACGACAATTTTGTTAAAAAGATACAGGGAAAGTAGTCCATACGACAGCTTCCTTTGGTTACGTGTAGCGACAACACACACAATTGCTACTGAACATCGTAAACATCTTATGTTCATACCAGCAAACTTTTACACTATTGACTTGTAAGGTGGTTGGGAAATAAACACGTCATTAGATGTACAAGTTTATGTTGAAAATGATAAACCAGCCACAGCGTCGTTTTCCAGATGAAAGGGGGTGGGGCGCACAGCTCGGAAAGATCACAGATACATGTACGTAGGTGCGCCAAAGAATAAGCTTTCCGTATATCGAAAGAAAAATTGTAGCTACCATACTCACAAAAGGTTATCTATTTTTCGAATTTTACCGGAGGTGTATATTATATTTTTGCAGACAATATATAAAAATCAAATTGAATATACAACTGTATTGCCAGAGCAGAGTATTTATACGTGTGGAGCTCTCTCCCATCTAGGCATTTGGTGAGACTGTACTTGGTCTGTAAGACTGTAAGTTATTTCCTACGCGTGTCTTAGACGAGTGTCTTGCTGAAAAACGCTAACAGCTCTATTTAGATAATGAAAAAAAAGTTTATAACAAAAAAGACGAAAAACATGTGCATATAAATTTGCCTGCGCGCCGTAAGTGTGGTACAAAAATGTAATACGGTTGCAAAACAAGATAGACGCATGTAGTACTAGTACTAGCATCTGACGCTCATTATTTTAACAGTTGTTATGAGCATTGTACATGGATTGATGGTAAGATGGCTATCTGTGGTTAATACAGCATCAACATGGTGCCCTCTATTGTCTTTAACCACCCGTTGTGTAATACATTAAAGTGCTGTGACAGTCAAAATATTTATTAAGTGCCAGTGTGCAGTAATAGACAAGGGCCATGATTATGATTGTACAATATGTATGCATCCATGTGAGTGAAGTACACATATACGTATGGATTGTCCATGTTGTCACCGATGTATTTCTTCTTTGCTTCATTTAATGATAAAAAGTTACCCAGCACCTTCACAATGCAGCTGACAAGGTGCCAAAACATTAAGGAGAAGTTAGTGATTGTGTTGAAAAAAAATTATCTTCATAACAATAGCCAATCTGAAGAAGCTATTCAGTGTTTGCCTTGTGTTTCACAACATATATGACCTATCAAGGGAACGAAAGGCGAAAGCAAAGGAAACAGCTTAAGGTAGTGTTTAATGGTGCCTGAGGACTTTGGGGACATCTTAAAAATACTAGTTAGAATTACTTTTGGTCATTGAATTTTTTCATATAAGTACCTTATTGCAAGACAATAATTTATGCAAATTTTTATGACGTCACAATGACGTAATCTGGAGTTATGAGCCACGCCCCCTTTTTAGAAAAATCAATTTTCCTGGCCAGTGCTTTGGTTTTCATTGACCATATTTTGTAGAGAGGCGCACTATAGTGATAGCAAAAAACGTATGTCAGGATTTTTTTCTATCTTTAAATGTTGATTTTTAATGAATTTTTTCGTAAATTTTAACAGTGCCATACGCCAGCGGCCCTCCCCAGCACATAAAGCGGCGCAGCGTGTCGGCCTGACGTACGTTTTTAGTTTAGAAGCTTATGTTTAAAAGAAAACAATTTTTTGTCCCTTTTCATTAGCAGTTTTGCCACAGTTTTGATCTAAAAATGCTGTATATGCTGTATGGGTTACATAAATGTCCATTTTGGAGCCAAAAAGAAGCCGAAATCGCCAGGTTCTGGTCCGCATTCCAAAGGCCCCGATGACTTCCGGTAAAATGCGGGTCATTGACCCTTCAGCACGCTGTATTTACCATACTGAGCCGCGATTTAGAAAAACAGGCCGGGGATACGAACAGTAAAAAGAACAGCCCAAGCATCCCCATTCTTTAAGCGTGGGGGAGTCACGTGACCAAACCAAAATGGCGGACGACGACGTGGATGCCGCGAAGGACGCTGTGCGGTTTGCGGCAACATTTGGGCCGCTAGACAATCTTTTAAACGGCTATACCCTACGTAGTTTTGCAGGTGGACTTTCATGGACTATTCTGAGACCTTTCTGGAGAAAAACCGTCCGCGTTTTCTGGAGTTACGGATTTGTTTTTGATGCCTACCCCCGAAGTTCTTTGTTATGTTACGGAAACAGCAACATACTCGGAAAAAAGACTGAAAAGTTACCGGAGTAGATAGCCCTGGAGAAAAGCCTGCCCGTACGTGGTATGAGATTACTAGCGAATATAATTTTGTTGATTATGTGAATTTCTGTTGAATGTTGTCCTAGTAGACGTGTGCTTACAGTATATGATTTTTTTTACGTACGGAGTTTTATCTGCAAATATGGACAATCCGTTATAAGCTGCCACCGCTGTAAACCGTAAAGATATGTTCGTCGTTACAGTAAGATTGTGTATGCATTCCGCTCTAAGATAGCTTGAAGTTTGTTTGTATTGTATTTCTTTGAATAAAAAAAGAACGTTGCAGATTGGAAATCAGTTCTTGTGTCATGTTTGTTCAAGTACTAGTATCTTCTTCCTGCAACTGCATATAACAGTTACTACCGGTAGTATATTTACAAACATTTTGCAGTCGAAACAAACTCGAACGTTCCTTTTGGCAGTCAAATGTTTTTTCATAGGAAGTTGTTGGCGTAATCCATGCCTTTTTCTTGGTGATTTCTGTGGTATATTTCCAGTTGAATATGTGTTCCGACTTGATTAGCCGGCATGGCATGTTTTCGTAAATTCTTTGCAGTTACTTGGTTACTTAGCGGTCTACAAATAACATGATGTACTGTATTTACAAACGCTCTAAGTATCAGGAAAATTGTCTTTTCCTTTCCCAATGGCAAAGTGAAGCTCACACACACTGTGACAGTTCACATTCCTTGCTTCAAGTGGCCCAGCGGATTCGTGCTTTCGCTTCAGAGGGGCCGGGGGGTGTGCACATTATTTGGAAGAGCACTCCATATTTGGAAGAGCACTCCATATATGGGAGCCCGGATGGTAGATGGCGCGTAAAAATTGCGAACTTTGTCGTTCAATTTCGCGGTCAAAATGTGGCCCTGGCAAAAAATATGTTATAGATTATAAAAATAGACCAAAAAGTCTACCATGTCAGATAGAGTTTTTTTTCTATACTAGTATTTCCAAAAAGTCCTCAGGCACCCTTCAATATGACCTTAAATAACACTAGAAGATGCAGCTAGGCCATCTGGTAGCTTTAATCATATTATCATCTTCTTTAACATTGCCATCAGTGCCCCATTAACACCATCTACATGAAACTTATACAATTATACAATATGTAATCTAAAGTTTCATCTAAGATTACTTCATTTTATCCCACTTATTTAAGACATCCACTTTTCATATTCTTGTAAACTTCACCTTTGTAAATGATGGAGCAAAGTTAGATTTCTACCAATGTGACATCATATATGACATTGCAATATCATCCAATTATCAGACCCAATTTCTACATTACCTACTTAAGTACATTGTTTGCACAATTCATTTGAGATGTAGATATTCACAACCCTTATACATTGATCATCAATGTAAGACATCACTGATAAAAATATGGAACAACTTTTTACAGCATAAATCATATATTGCAGTACAGAAAATCAAGTAAAATCCAGTTTATATATTTCAAGAAATAAGTATTATTACAATTCAGTGCTGAGCACACAAACCTCTCTGGAATATATTCTATAGATTTAGAAAATATACAACAATACAAGCTATCAGACAGCAAAGTAAGAATTGCACAGGTCTATATAATTATATTGCAAGCTGTTCCTCTGAATAGTGGAAGGAAACATTTCAAAGACCACCTAAAATATCTAGAATATATAATAGATTGTCAATGCACTTACCCAGTGCCCTATTGCTAATTATCATTTGTCACTCTTCATATTTGCCATTAGCAATGACTGATAGGCTTCATTACTAATATCAACAGTAGCAAAGTTTCATTTCCTGATAATGTTTAACTTTAACCATAACTGACTACTAATTATTTTACTTACTATACGTACTATTATTATCACTGATGGGAAAGTCTAGGAAGAACAGTGCCTCAGTACACCAATTTTGACAGAGGACATGACGTCATGTGCATGGAAAGCATGCATGAGACAGAAGTTACCTTATTATGTGTTTAGGGTGCCAGCCATTCTTTGCATCATGCTGTTTGAGACTCCCTTAGAGTTTGGTAACATTATCATGACTTCATTGAACAACCTTCAGCACAACCTATAGATTTACCACAATGAGCAATTAACACCCACCATACATGTAAATAAACTTACTGTTAAAAAAATAACATTGCCCAATTATTTTACCACATTAGTCAATACTTTACAATGATTCCCTATTACCTAAACCATATATTGAAGAAGCCATTTGTGAATTTCCAATGACCATTCTGTGGTAGTTGTGCGTCTTAACATATCTAATTGATGAAATACTAGAAGAATACTACAGCTCACAATATGTTGGCAGTACAACATTCTAGGATATAAATGCAACAATAGACAATCTAGCACTGGAAATGATAATTTGCTTTGAACCATTCTTACTCAATCTGAAATAAAGTGTACAAACAGCAAGAGGTGTGTTTGTGTTTCAATTGCACAGAATTAGAAGTTGCAAAAGGGTTTTGCTGTTACCAACAGGTTCAATCACCTCTGTTGCCTTGGCACATCAGATTTTAATACTGAACTTTGAATTTGGCAAGAATTTAGCCCAGGCAGACTCTATTCTTTTTCCATTCAACTGTTTCCCTTCAACCAACAGTTCTATAGAGAAGTAACAGCTAAAGCTTGCAAGAAAAAGTACTTGAGTAACCATATGTTCTGACATCTCAAATATCCAAACCAAAAAGATACCATCTTCAGCAAAATGCTACAGACACGAAGTAGTATGTACATGCATGCTAGATATACTACCACCATGTTTAACGTTATGTCTCTTTTTTTTCCTCATGGACCGTTTACAGTACTATTCTAATGACACATGATTTAATGAGCCTAATGCTTACATTTTCATTCTAAATATAGTTAAAACACATGGCACACATAAATCTTCTGCAGTAATATTTGCATATCTGACATAGTTGTTGTAGTTTTTACTATCTGTACCCCATGGTTTATCCTGAAAGAAACTACCAATGTTTTCCTTGTCTCCAAATGGACTACCCTCTTCAAACAGCTGATACACTAAGAGGTAGCAGCAAAGGGCAAGATTAATACTAGCTATAGTAACAGTTACTACTTTCTATATACATGTGCTATTGTCCTCTTGAGAAGAGGTAAATGTCTTTTCAAAGAGCATACTAGTAGTTAGAAAAGGGACAGTTTAGCCTTCTATTTCTAACAGGATAAACCCATAATCAACCAAGAGAAGATTAAATAGTGGTAAACTGGTAAGTAATGAGATAAAGCTCAGACTAAAGAAGACTATTCAAAAGATCAATGCTTACCAAATTTCAATGGTAAGATATTGGGTCACCATGAGACAAACCAATGAGGCTCTATTCAGCATTTTCTATGTCTATTACATATGTAAAGTATGTCTATTATATACCAGCTCCACTATAGCATATATCACATGCAGAATCTGCCAAAGGAATTGCTTTTGCTAGAACTAACACATGGCCACTAGGAATACATGTAGCATTTTGAAGTACATGTAGTCAACTTTTTGGTTACAACATACATGTATACCTGATAAAAGTGGTCATCTAACTATCTGATGGTCCTTACAGAAAGCCCTGTCACTAGTTGGGTAGTACAGTTTTAGGGAGGAGTAGCAAAACCTTTGTTGCTACTTTGGCAACAACGGTTCTGTGTCTCCTCTAACAGGGGAAGACTGTCCTTCCTCTGCCTCATGCCTGTACACAAGTTTGTTGGTAGCTTTCTCCACAGCGCCCTCTAACTCTCCAGCCTGTATTGCATCTCCTGCCAGATGCTGTGCATCCTGGGGGCCCTCTCCCTCAGGCAGTGCTGTTGCTCCAAGCAGAGGGCTGGACTCCTCGTCTGCACCACTTTGATCCAAAGCAGACACTTCATCTGCCCCTTCTGAAACATGCGGCACCCTTGCACCTTCCTCTTGACCTCTGACCTCAAGGCTCTCTTCATCATCTGATGTTGCACCTGTGTGGGTGGTTTCTGGTTCTTCTGAGGTCATGACCTGATGCTGACCTGTGACCTCTGACATGCTGCTGACCTCGTCTGACACACAGCTGGGGGGATCCTCGCTGACGCTGACCCTGTCCCTCTCTCCAAAGGACTGTTCACTGATGGTTGGTGAGACCAGGTCTTCCAACAGGATCAGATCACCTGAGCTGTAGCGTCTGCAGGAAAAAGACAAAACACTCAATTTCACTTTGATTACAGTTTGTGGATTGTTTATTACTATCATCATCATCATCTTCGGATGACCGTATTGGTTACAATAAAGAGTCATAAAAAACTAGGGATCAAGTCATTTGGTAATTCACCTTATTCTTTTTCTTTCATGAAGTATGTTTCCCACAATAGGATATGTAAACACTGGTCAACTCAACTGGATGGTTACTTTGAGAAGTTTAAGGGCATCAAGTTTAGACCATCTGTCAACCAAAAGACAATGCTTTTCTATTTTTCTACAGTGATGAATAATTCACATTTACTGCTGCTGTAAACCATAATAAACCATGAAATGAACTGGTACCTTCTATGAGAGTACTCTGGTGAACTCATGGCCCGGTCTCGCAAATGTAGGCTCAGCGGTCTCTCGGGTGATTGGCCATCACATATCAGTGCCTCCACCAATCGGGACACGTTAGCAACTGAGCAGGTCTCCGATGACGACAGGCTGTCTTGTGGGGACAGGAGGTCCCCCAGGGGTGGGGTGAGAGGTTCAGGGGGTGGGGAGATTGTACCTGTGTCGCCCTGTGCATGGTCATTGCTAGCACCTGACAGGGGAGGCACAATGAGATACACTGTTGTAGTAACATATCAAAGTTCAAAATGTAGTACATGTATAAGAAAGAGACATCTGAGATCTCTCATCTTTTTTCATACCTACAAGTAAATGTAAACAAATTGCCAGGCAACTTCTGTATATTTTCATTGACAGCACATTAAAAGAAATGAAGTAGACAATTTTGACCCCAACCTCACCGTTTTCCTTTGGTTCGGCAGCACTTCCCACAGGGGACTGTCTCTCCCCTGGGGGAGGGGCACAGGCTCCCTGGTCCAGGGGGAAGTTGAAGGGGTTGACCCTGGAGGGGGGAGTGACTTTCTTGGGGACCAGTGCCTCCAGCCCTTGTCCCATCTGGGCCTTGTCTCCTGTTTCTCTACCTGTGGCAATTAAGAACCTTCAACTATCAGCCTTGTTCTGTTGACTGCCACAACACATCACTACAGATGCCACAACAGTTTGATAAAAACAAAAAAACAATTTATCAACTCTGTAATAGTGTTATGATCATGATAACCGCAAAGCTGATCCGAATTTACTTTGTTATGCAAATTTGTGAGTTATAATCAGTGTAGCAACTTTAGTCCTACTTCTTGAACAATCTAAGCAAGGCCTTTACTAGCCACACACATGCATTTAACTGTGTTGGTAGGAATGTGTTTGAAATCTTGTCAAGTTGACATAACCTAAAACATCCATCTGTCCTTTTACCATGTACATCATTTCAAGATGTCACAAATGGGTAAATCACATGCAATGACACAGCAATTTTATATGGTTGTGTTGACAATGGTTGGAGTTGAACTTGAAGAATACTGTCAGTCTAATGATCCAAAAATGGTTTATCAGTGTAAACCCAAAGGTGGGATTCTGTGTTGCAGTGAAGTCCGACATAAAAATATTTCATGCAGAATTCTCCCTGTTGGACAGGAAAATGTTCTACATGTAATTCCCCCAGTGCACTCCACCATACACTTGAAAAAAAAATTGTCATTGGTTGTTGACAAGACTCCAACAATCGACCAATGCCCCCTCTGGGTTTACACTGATAAGTGCAGTGACATTGCCTTGGTGAGCTGGGTGACCAAAGCAAAGCGAGACTAGTAACGTTACATGCAGCGGAACAGACAGCAAAGCCCCATTACCTTGCACCATAAAACGCACAAAGCCTGATGACCGGAGCAATAGAATGGGGAAGGGAGGAGGGAAGAAGACAATGCATGTCAACATGGTATGAGCACACATAAAAATGGGCTACAGATTACAACATTGTTCTCAAGGTGTTTCCTGTTGCATCTTCCAAAACATGCAAATCATGTGAAATTACTGATTTATCAGAAACACTGGGTATTAGCTACAACTGTTGAGTCATGCTTGAATATAGCCATTCTCTGTTTTTTTTTAAATGACATCTTTAAGATTTTACAAAATCAATTTCACTGATGGTGGACTGATTGATTGACTGATTTGTTGGTTGGTTTGTTGGTTAATTAATTGTTGTTTTCTTTAGATTTGCATATTGAAGAAATGTGTAATGTCTAACTCTACACAAGATTTTAAAAAAAATGCACCAATGTAATAAACTTGCCACCTCCCTACCTGGTAGACTCCACAGTCCTGACACTTCTAATGTCTTCAACTTCTTCTCCAATTCATTAACCCTGTTACCTAGAATTCTGAATAGAAAGTCAAATCAAGATTGAATAAAAAAACACAAACAGAAACAACATAACAGACTTGATAAAACCCTGAAATGCAGTCTTTAAAGTGTAATTCTAAAGTCTAGTGTCTACCGGTTTTGCTCAAACATATGTAGCACAAGTGAGAGAAAGTTCCCCTTACTTGTTAGTGCTCCTCTGATGTTGCAGAGCCATGTTCTTGTCGTTGATGGTTTCCACCAGCGATGCTGCCAGGGACTGCAGGTCAGCTACTGAAGAGGGGGTTGCTGGGATACTTCCCAACCTGCCGTCTAACAGCTGCTGGACTGGTGGATGGAAACAGAACAACAGAACAGCCAGATTAGTCTGATTTCATTCATTCAATGTATTCCACTGACATTTTGTCATCAAATCTGCAATATGCTCCTTCCTGTAAATATGAGTCTGAACATTAAACAAATGGAGGAAATGACTGTGCACTATCTGATTTTGACCTTTCATCATTGCTTAAAGGTGGATACGAAATACACAGTTTAGTACAAATAAGACCATTACTATCTTACAGAAGGCTGTTAACATTTCTTGACTTTTCTCAAGCTTGTTTTTTCTAATTGTTGCACATGTTTTGGATACCTAAACACAGGAACACTCACCTTGCTTCTGTGACACCACAACTCCCCCTGTTCTGTTGGCTCCAATTTTCAGAATACCTTTCCCTTTCCTTCTGTCCAGGGCTTGCTAAAGGTCAACAAACCAAGATTATCATGAGAACAGAATGCTTTAAAACCAAGAAGGTAACAAAGGTAGAAAATGTTACACTACAAATGTACTTCTACAGTCCTACTAAATGTATGTACATGTACTTATGATCATAATGATGAAACCAAAACCTCACTTCTATGAAAGGTTATATATACTTTGATGTACATTATTTAGATTAATGTATAAGATGGTGATAGTCAGGATGTGTGTGAAAATTTGTAATTTGTGTTAGTACCCACTTTGTACTTGCCAATAGTTGTCTGTAGCAGGCTCTTCTCTTCTTGGGTCTGTTTGACTCTCTCCTGTAGGTATCTGTGAGATGAAGGATATTGATAAAGGATCTTCCTTGTCCATTTTATATTTCAACACTGTTTTAAGGTACTAGTAACCTTTCATTTTGATATCAAACATTTTCTGTTATGATTTCCATAGGAAACTGACACATTAGCATCATAGACAGAGTTTTTTATTGTGCAATCTAGCTCAAAAGGTCTCCTTTCAAACCATCCCAGTAACAGCATTAATAAACAAAACAAACTTGTTTTCCATCCTGAGAGCGTCGATGTCAACAATCCTCTTCTCATCCCCGCGGAGGATGTAGTTCAGCTCCTCGTTCAGCCTCTCCGCCCGGTCGCGGTGAAAGTTCCTCTCCGAAGACATCTCCTCTTTCTCATCAGACAGGGCCTGCACATCTCTCTCCAACTGTTCAGTCTGCGTCATTGGAAAGATGTCAAAATCATCATTGAAATGCATCAGATAATTCTATTGGGGCTAGTAAAAACTACCATCTACTAGAGCAGAGTAGAGCAGATGTCTTCGGCCAGGTAGGAGCTTAAGTTCCAGTTTAGGCCGCTCTTTCCTTTCAGTGTACAGACATCTACTGGTAGTTCTCTTACCGGGGTACTCTACTAATGTCTTTTCAATATATTTGTTTATTCTAACATTTGCTAACATTCATCTGCCAGGTTATATTCATGTATATGTGCCATTTAGAAACACAGTGTGTTTCAGAGATCTCTAGTGCAGTGCCCCCTAGGTTTGTACAGTTTAGATATGCAGGAGTACATTATACTGGGGGAAGTTGCATTGGAGATGTCTTCACATGCATTTTTCAGGGTGACGGATACATGTGGCCTTTCATAATTGTTTTGGTAGGCTTTATATCTCATAAATAATTTTCTTGAAAAAACATTTCTGATGTAGAAGATTTGTAAATTCATGACCACTGACCCTTTCTCGTGCTTCCTCGAGTTGCTTGACCAGGTCTTCTCGCTCGTGTTTAGGGAAGTGTCTGTTCCCAACTCCTTCATCTCCAACTCTCATCCTGGCCAGACTTTCCCGTAACATCTGCCAACAACAAAGGTATTGTTTAATTTTAACTATTGTGTAAATCCTATTAGTTCTTGGCTATCCATCTGACATTCTAATAAGATCAATAATTCATAGACATCAAAGGCACGCTTATAGTATTAATAAGGTATTCTCTGACTACCTTGATGTCCCCCTGTGCCTCTGTAAGTTTCTGTGTCAGGTCCTTTTCCTCAGCTTGCAGTCTCTTGTTCTGTGTACGAGCCTCACTCAGCAGCTGGGCTAGACTCTACAGGATGGAGTACTTTCAAGATGAAACTCTTAACAATAATTATCGCTGCTCTTCATTTTTTTCTTCTTCACATTAAATGGCCTAAACTTATCGTCTGTCTTGCTGAATGCTGAATATAGCATGATCATTTTGCAATTTACAAAAAAGGAAGCCAGTGTATAGATGTCACTTTTAAGATTTAACTTTTAAACACACTTTTTTTTCATTACACAACTCTACTATCCCTTATATTCATAGAAATGCACAATGTGAGAATTATATAGTTTTTATACATATTATGTAGTTTCCTGACCTTGCTCCTGGTGTCACTGAACTGTTTCGGGTCCAGTGAGTCTTGTTGTGCTCGGGTGGGAGATTTGGGCTGGTGGGGGAAAACAGATGCATCCTGTCATGTCAGGATGGTGAATAGGTCAGAACAAAAAAATGCAACTCAGGGAAAACACAACTAAAACTTCATACATTGTTTAAAAAAAGGAAGAAATATAAATTACAAGAGATATAATTGTAAATTAGGATTAACACAAAATAGCAAAAAGAAGAATTCAAGTGGTCAGAAAGACACAGGAACATTTGATGTTCTTTTATACTTTTAATTGTTGTCTTGTTTGTTTGTGTTGTTTCTTCCTGTTGACATATTCCTTTATTTCTTTTACAAGCACAAATTTTCAATTTCATGCAACACAGTCTCTTAGGGTCAGGTTTCAATGATGCAGTAATTTTTTTTAAATCACAATGTTACGATGATGGTTGTTATCTTTCTAAAAAGTCTAAAAAGTCTAAAAATGTCCAGTCGTACCCTTCTCTCCTTTTCTTCATATCTCTTCCTGAGAGTCTGGTATCTCTCTCTCAGCTGATCAGCCATCAGCTTGAACTGGTCCCGCTCCTTCTGGGTGTTCTCCAGTCCCTGGCCATGATGACAAGGGCCTCCTTCTTACTCTCCAGCTTCCTCTTACAGGCCTGGTACTGTCACGGGGCATATGGAAGGAGTGGATATTATAAAAGTCCATACCAGACATGGTCAGTGAGTGGTCAGCACAAAACAGGTACTAGTAATAGTTGGGTGACTTGCCCACCAATAATTTGTATATGCCTCTCAATAATTTGTCTACCAATACTGATGTAAACCATCAGGGATCCGTCGGTGAAGGTTAGACATCCAGGTAATACGATACGGCAAAAAGCAGTTACTCAAGCAACTGGATATGATTTTGGAATCAGGGATCACTCATATTGATTTTTAACATAATCCTTAATTCAACAAGACAATTTAATACTACATGTATTTCAACAAAATTAATGTTACACTGTCCAGCCATACAAACTTGATCATGATAGTAATCCTTCCATTTATTGCTCAAATTTACAGACAGATAACTGCTTCCTTTCAAGGACTTATGTGACTTGCCTAAGCCCTGTCAATCAAATTTCGTGGCTGGCTACACCCAATCCACTGGCTTCATCTGGCTTTTAATAAACATGCAAATCATTGTGTGTATTAAATACTTAAACACCTGGGGAGGCAATACGAGGGTTTGCTTGGATTTAGAAAGAAAACCTTGCAAAACTGGCAATACACTGTCAGTGACAAATCCAAATTCTGATGATATGTCTAGACTTTAAAAATCAAAAGGGTAATATTTAAAAAAACAACAAGCTTGTAAAAATATATGTCTGTTTAATGAGCTATTTATGTGTATCAAAACAGAAGTGTTAGCAGCACAATTGCAGACTGTTCTGAACACTCTACTCGTAGAGAAAACGTGACCCACAGAACAAGCATTGATGCATGTCCTTCAAACACGTAAACAAATTGCCACTCAAATGCCCGGTTTATGATGCAGTATAAATTAACGTTAGATCACACTTTAATCACAGTATTTTTACGTTAAAGTTACTAGGAAAATAATTCACATCAATAGATTTATGGATGCACGATGTCCAAATTATAACCAGGAACTGCGTACACCAAGAAAAAACACTTGTGTGTTGCCCACCAACTTGAACATGTCATGTCAACATATCGTCACCTAATATGACACACACCATATGTTCAAATCTAGCCGTATTTTTCACCAACCTCATTGACCAGCATGTGACATTGAGCTTCGGTAGGTCTGTTGAAAGCCATTGTCCTACATCCATTGATCTTTGGCAACAATACACAAGAATATGTCCAAGAAAAACAGACAAGAAAAGTACCCTCCCCCTTTTCCCTGTTGGCGGGGCCTCGACTAACCCAAATTCACTCGGACTGCCTTAAAAATCCGTGCCTTGCAGATTCAACAATTCCTAAAATCTTATGGAATCTAAATACAAGTGCAAAAAGTAAATAGCACAGATTTACATCAAATAAAATAAATTACATTTTTTTCACTTTTATTTGGTACTTTATGAGAATTTATGTATATTTTATGTAAAAGTTGACAGGCATGTAAAAAAGAAAAGATTGAACAGGGCGGGATCTAATCGAGGTCACCAGAGGTCAGTAAGATGGCTGTCAGTGGTTTTTAGGTGTTTTGCGTTTGTCTCCACCTTTTCTGAGGCGTTTCACGGAAAAAAATAGGACCATTCTGAGGTAAGCCACCCCCTTGAAGTATATCTTATGTGTGGTTGCTCCTCTAGATTCTGTGTTAAGTGTGGAATTTGACGATTTTGGTCAAGAATTTGAGATCCAGGTGCAGGTGCTAGGTGTGGAAACCAGGTCGAACGGAAGTGCACAGCACAGGTAGACAGGACGTACGTGAAACCAGGTGTGGTATGACTGCCAACGGACGTGAGGAATTTATTCATATCGATCTGCAGGTACAACTGTCACGTCCACTTTCCCGCATTGATCCTACAAAGCGGCACCGACACTTGCAAACTTTGATCTGCCTCTAACGATTCATGTACCAACATGCTGCGTACTGGCTTTTGTTCACAAACACATAAGTTATATATATTAAACTTATGGTTCTTTTATGTTTTAATAGAGTAGAGTAGACGCTAGACAATCGAAGCAGACCTATAAAGTTATATGTGAAATACATGTCTGCAAAATAACCAGTCCCTTTGTGCACAACTTGTCCATCCAAACACAGGTTTCTTTGATTCAAAAATGCTGAATACTTAGTAAGATGT